GACCGACTATTTTGATTTCATTATTTTTTAATTAATGAATTACATATTTAAATTTAATTAACTTAAATGATTAAGGACCATTTAGAAACTTAAATGATTAATACGTAACATTTATTATTACATATTAATGGATTAGCTCTAAAAAGACAAAATTAAAGATAAAAAAGAGTTAAAAGGAAATGGACTATTTGTCTTCTTCGATTAGGGATCTTGAAGACATCCTTGCAATATACAATAGCTCCCTCTATGGACTGTTCATCTTGGTTGTTGCAGTATGCACCACACTTTAGTCCAATAGCCTGGATCTTCTTCCTTTTTAGTAGTTTCTCACTCCTAACCATTGTAGTTGATTTAAAAAAAAAAAAAAACAGTATAACTTCCATGCCTGCTCTTGGCATGAATTTTTCAAACACAGTACTCCATAAATCTATTAGTGGTAGAGTGAGGCGAGTAGATACGCACCACAATTGCCCCATTTGGCTCTACTCCTTAATTTTGACAAGAATATACACAATTGAAGCATTGCGTTTAGCATAAACCGGCTTTCCCCACCCAAAATCAACCAATTCATATATGGAGAATTTGGTCCATTGTGTTTCGGTGAGTTTCCTTTTAAATCCAAGCTTTCTTGGACGGTATTCTTGGATATTATCCATAGTTGACCTCAAATACTCCTCCAACATCCCCAGCCAAGCATCTAGAACTAGATCTGTTATGGCAAGTTTGTTGTCTTCAAGGATATCGTAGAAAATTGCAACAAACCCACCATTATACCCAACTGAGCATCTTGAACTAGATCTATTATGGTGGGTTCTACAAAATCCTTGAAGACAAGAAACCTAGATTTGGGTTTCCTCTATTATAACCAAAATTGCAGTTTCAATTCTCATCAGTTAATCTCAACACTATTATACCCAAAATCACACAACAAACCTGCAAAATTTGCAACTCCTTTAAGTCCTTATGACAGAGGAACACAAATCTCGATTTTCTTTGTTTTATGGCACTTCGAGCTTGTCAGGAGGCATGATTATATCTCATGGCTTCTAATCTGGGTTCCATTTGGCCCCAGCCTCACATGATGGAAAGGGTAGAAAGGAGAACGGGAGAATGGAGAAAAATGCTCTCGTCGTTGCCAGCCTTTGATCTACTATGGTTAGAAAGGGAAAAGGCAAATTAGGGAAAGGAAGAAGAAAAGGGTATATTTGTAATTAGATAAGAGATGTAATTTTGACATTTAAATAAGACCTAGATGAGATGGAGATAAAAAAATGAGGTAAGTGCCATGTAGTCGTCCAACTCAACAAAAATGGCCACCTCAGCATCTAGGTGATAAAAAAGATTCCACGGTGTTTAAAAAGTTAGACTTAACAGGCAGTTAACGAAATGATGATGTCACATGACGTGGCACATCAAATACTGAGTTATTTATCCAAATTAAAAATTTTATAAGTGGATTTGTCC